TCCCTCTCCCTCCATGGCATTGACCTATCAAACCGATAATCTCCAATATTGATAAATATCATACATTGGTCTGTGAAACGAAATCGAGGACCTTTTCTTCTGTGTGACCTGAACTTTCTCCTCCCGCCCCTCCCCTCACTTTGCAGTATTACGGGCGGGTATCGACCGTGTTCGTGTGTTGCTCTGGAAACCTGCTCCACGCGCCGTCTTTGTTTACCCCCCTTTGAGCCAGGATCAGGTGCGTGTGAGGGCGGACATGAGAGAAAAATACCCAAAAAGTACCCTCGCTCGCTAGCAGGGTGAAAAATTTAAAGGGAAATTCGACACCTAAACAAACAGATCTTGAAATAACCTTTAACTGGAAATAGTGCCCTTCTCCTTTAGCCTTCTCATGTCCAGTAAAAGGATATAACTTGTAACCTATGGTGGAAAATGTACTGGTATTCATATTATTGAAAATTTTTTTGTAACCCCTCACCGTGGCTTTAGGCGCGTTGCCATACAAGTCATTGCCTTAAAGTCTGCTCAGGTTTTCAACATGAAAAACACCGGTCTTGGCATAAATGGCCTCCAAAGACCACCATAGCCAACATGCCTCATCCACAAAGCCGAACCTCAACACAACCTCCGACCACCACAACGTTCCTCTCTCTCCTCTCCCCCCACAACAACACAAACACACGCTCTCCCTCTTCAACCTCAACCTCCCCTCTTCTCTCTTCTTCCTCTTCTCGACCATTCCACTCCCACACACTCTCTCTCTTCGACACTTTCGTGATTAATTCATTAATCTTATAATCACGTATCCTTCTTTCGTCCTCGATCGCTACTAACCGTGTCGTTTACTACATCGTTTTCGCTTTCGAGTCCAGAAGTCCTCATTGGTTACTGGTTCTTTAAACACGTACACCCGTGTCGATAATAGAACGTTTTTCGAGAAAAGGGCAAGATCTTTCTCGCCAGCCGGTCTGCCGTCCAATCGGTGGCCTTTTACGTCTACCTTTTATTCTTGGGTTCGTGACGTGAATCCTGTACCATTTTTGAGATGCTAATGGTTTTTTCCGATAGGGCTTAGATTAAAACTTGACCTCCGAGTCGAGGAGTATATACCCTAAAGTCAATTATTTTCTAAACACCCCCCTCCCTCTCAATTAATCGCCACGCTCTCGTTCCATCAATCCTCAACCACAACCACCACAGCAACGTTATACCAAAATGCAAGCGGTGAGCATCATTCCCCATCTCTTTTATGCGTGATACACGCGGGAACACGCGATTATTATATCTCTTACGAGATCCCGTGTGTTATACGTGCTTTGATGCCCCCAATACTAACACTTTTTTTTTGTATAGCGTCGAGCTACTCGCCAGCGCTCCTCGAGCAATATCGATAATAATGATGAGAACCGAGGCACCGCGGGTGTCTCCACTCGTTTGACCCGTGCTAAAGCAGCTGCGCTCACCTCATCTGATTCCGCTACCTCACTGCCTGCGAAAACCACCACTACCGGTGCTTTACCCGCAAACCGAAAACGTTCTGCTCTGGGTGATGTGAGCAATGTCGTTAAGGCTGATGGTGTGGATGATAAGAAGGCCGGGGGGAAAAAGGGTGGGAAACCTGCTCTGTCAACAAAGACCGTCAATGGGGTTACAAAACAGACGCGTGCGAAGGCACAGCCCATCAAGAGTGTTGCACCGGAAGAGACCAAGAGAACCAATAGCGGTTCAGGTGTTTTAGCTGCTCGCAAGAAGAAGGCTGCTACAGGTGTTCCCGGTGCCGGCAGTGCTAAGGCCAAGGAGGATAGGGAAAATGAAGTCGAATCCGCAAAGGTCACCATCTCTAGCGTTGAAATCGAAGTCCCAGCCAAATCTGAAACCGAGGTTGTTCGTGCTACCAAAAAACCGCGTGTGGAGGAGCGTTTGGCACATAACGATCTCGATGAGGAGGATCGTGATGACCCTTTGATGGTTTCTGAATACGTTAACGAGATCTTCGAATACCTACGTGGACTGGAAACTACTACTATGCCCAACCCTGACTATATGGCCAACCAAGAACATTTGCAGTGGAAGATGCGCGGTATCCTTGTCGATTGGCTAATTGAGGTCCACACTCGTTTCCGGCTACTCCCAGAGACTCTGTTCCTTGCTGTGAACATTGTCGACAGATTCTTAAGTGCCAAAATTGTCGAGTTGGATAAGCTTCAGTTGGTCGGGGTTACTGCCATGTTTATTGCTGCCAAATACGAGGAGGTCTTCTCCCCTGGGGTCCAGTACTTCCGCTCCGTCGCCGATGATGGTTTCACAGAAGAGGAGATTCTACAGGCTGAGCGTTATATCTTGACTACTCTTAACTACAATCTATCTTATCCCAATCCGATGAACTTCTTGAGAAGGATTTCGAAGGCAGACCAGTACGATTACGAGACCAGGACTGTGGCCAAGTACCTCTTGGAAATTAGTTTGTTGGATCATAGGTTCATGGGGTATGCACCCAGCCACGTATCTGCCGCGGCCATGTACTTGTCGAGAATGATGTTGGAACGCGGACCTTGGGTATGAATATCTCTGACCCTTCTTTGTTGTTGCGTTGCTGACTTTTCAACGATAGGACGCCGATTTGGTTCACTACTCTGATTATACCGAAGAGGAGGTCCTTCCCGTTTTCCGCTTGATGATTGACTACCTTGCCCGCCCCGTTAAGCATGAGGCGTTCTTCAAGAAGTACGCAAGCAAGAAGTTCATGAAAGGTATATACTCGCTGCTTCCTTATCGACATTGACTTGCCAATCCTGACATCTTCATACAGCTTCCATCCATGCGCGTCAATGGGCGAAGAGGAATGCTGGTGCGCACGGCGTCAACATCGAGTCGGCAACCCATGATGACAGCCGATAATCCTTTCGCAAAAATTCAACCCATTCGATACATGCATTTTAATTTCGTTTCGCTCTTTCACATAAATTTACATCGGCTGGCAACGACCGACATTCCTTGTTTTTATATCCGTTCAGTGAATCCTCTTGTTTGCACAAAGGTTTCTGGGCATCTTGCATGCGTCGCATTGGTTCGTGGGTTAATAACGAACGATACGTGAAAAAGAAAAGTCCTTTTTTTGAGATACGGTTGAAAAGGTTGGTTGTGAATGGCCAGGCAATGAATCAAGTCGGATCAATGAGGGAATGGCAAGGGTTGGGGTCGGACAGAATCTCATAGCATGAACATTGGAGTATTGCCTAGATAGTCAAATATTTTAATTTGACAATCGAGCGTTCAAGTTCGGTGCATGAAACTTCTTGTACTCTCTACATTAGTTGTTATCTTATTCTGTGTTTTTATCTCCTTTTCTCTCCATTAGTTGTGTGATCATCAGTTCGGTTTTCAAGGGATTGTTTTGGTTTTCTTTACATGGTTCTTTTTCTCTATTCCTTGTGCCTATTCATTTCCCTTTTCCTTTTCCTTTATGGGCGGGAGGCGTGACTGAGTTGATTTATTCCTAGTAGGGACTGGAGGCTGCGATAACATTACACTGGCTTGGGTCCCCTTTATTCGATTACTATTGTCGTGTTGACGGTACCAATTCCTCAAAAGCAGCTTCCTGTGTTAGTATTTTCTAGTTTATTTTCTTATGGGCCTCATTTTATTATCCCCCCTTTTTTCCTTCCTGTCTCATATCTACTTACCTTTTTTTTTTTACCCTATCATCGGATTGGTTGTCTCTGTCCATGGACTCCCAACTCGAGACCTTAACCAGCCCATACAAGTCAATATAGCCTGCTCATCGTCTACGACATCCTCATCCTATGGTCACCAGACCCCTCCTACCCACCTTTTCCCCTTCATGCTTCCTTCACAAGAGAGGAGAAGAACAACTTAGCTTAACGTCTTTCCTTTGTTCCTACAAGTATCTTCCTTTCCCTCATTCCTCCACCATCCCCTCCCCTCCCTCCCTCCATAGATGAGCAAAAACCCCATCGCCCGGAGTTTGCAATCCATTATCATGCATAACCAAAAAAAAACGAAATCCTCTATACTATATACTATACCTGTATTTTTTGTGTAAGATCAAAAAAACATCCCCTAAATCATGTACTCAAATCCCCTTTGTTGTATTTTCTTTTTGGAATTTATTGTTTTCCTTTGTTGGGGTGGATGGAATAGAATATACCGGTATTGTTGAAAAGAAAACAAAACAAGCACTTTACGGTACGTAAGATAGGCTACTCTCTGGGAACGGGGGGGTTGAAATTAAGGGGGTTGGAGGGATTTGGGGTCGTGGATGGATGGGAGGAGTAAGAGGGAGGAGCCTAGGAGGGGAGCGAGGTAGGGATTACTGTGTAGGGGTATTGTCACTCGGTTTTCGAGTGAGAAGTTGTGCTGACGATGTGAAAAGCTTGAGGTGAAGGCGAAGGTGAGTACGGTATTACACGGTCATTACATCGGGATATGGGTTTAGTCAATGATAGTCAATGGGGATTACATGGTTTTTCGCTTTAGTTCCGGGGATTTTCTTGTTCTTTTTATCATACCCATCTCACATGATAGACTACTGTGAATTGTGAGATGCGATTAGCCAGTTATCGTGTTATTGGTCTACGCGATCATAAGAGATAACTCGGTTCTAACATTTTCTTCGCTGTCACTTGAAAAACTTTTGAGCGCCCACATCAACAGTGGTCGAACCAATAGATAGTCTACTCTCTGAGAAAGGACTTTTGCGAAGCTGTAACGTCAAGTGCGCCGCATCTATTCTTTCTTTCTTTCCCATTCTATTCACGCTCACTCCACTCGCTCGCTTGTTAGTCTACGGGTACTCCGGCTGCGATGCGATGCATGATACAATGCGGTACCGTGGCTATCATAGGTAACATTTTTTTGGGGGGGAAACCTCTTTCAATTCTGCCCCTTGCATATATTATGCGCCCGGCTAGCGCTGATACCGTACGTGTTCGGTTTAAGGTGTTTGGAAATGCGTTGATACGCGATTAGTTGACGATAACAACCCCTCGGGCTAAACTTGTTGCGTTAGCGAGCCGCGAAGGGTTAAAAATAGGTGTTGTGGGATTGGTTGGTTGAAATTGGGAGAATCATGGGTCGGTTAATTACCTCAACTCGTGGTACCCTAAATTTACCCGGTTCGGATGATTGTGTTGTGGTTATCACCGTTATCTGATGATCGGCGTAATACCGGTTATAATACGAGTACCTACCCACGATTGGGTTCTGTTTGGGGAAATCTCTTGCCCTCCTTCTCGTCCTTAAATTTACCGATATACTGCGACAATGTCAGAAGAATCCCCTTGCCCATTCTGTCTCATCGCCGCCTCATACCCGCCCTCCGCTCCGCCTCATCTCCCCGCACCTCCCACCACCCTTCTCTTTCCAGCGACACATATCCTGCTCTCAACACCTCACGCTCTCTCCTTCCTTGACATAATGCCCCAGTCACCCGCACACTTACTATTGATCCCCCGCGCGCACCACCGAACCCTCTACACCCTCCATCCGTCCTTGAATGCGGCTGTGACGGCGTGGTTACCGCTTCTCGCTCGCGCCGCGACGAAGGTTGTCGGCGTCAGTGACTTTAACGTTGTATTGAATAACGGGGTGAGCGCGGGGCAGGTTGTTGACCATGTGCATTGGCATCTGGTGCCTAGAGCCGGAAGGGAAGAGAAAGAGAGGATGGGGAGCGGGGAGAGGAGGGAGTGGTGGGGGGTTGGAAATGCGGAGGAGGAAGGGTGGGAGTGGGAGAGGGGATTGAAGGGGGTTAGGGGGGATTTGAGTGATGAGGAGGGGGAGAGGATTGCGGGCCTGATTAGGGAGGAGCTGGGCAGGGAGGTGGGAAGGCTGGAAGGGGGGGAGAGGAGGATTTTAGCGGTGCTGTAGTGGGTGGTAGAGGTGATAGCCCGTGGGATTTGCAACCCGGCGACGATCTTGAAAAGAGCTTGGTCCGCAGGTTCTTGTGGGAGATGTAACTGGTAGAAGTAGTATCTGGTGGCGTGTAATCTTTGATTGTGCGATATTGAAGTTGTCTTGAGATATTTCCGCGAACTTGGGAGATTATAGATTGTGTGAGGAAGGAACTGACCGCAGGATAGGCAATGATATGGGATTTAATGCTATGCCCCCCCGGTATACCACCTCTAACTGTTCTTTTGGGCGCGTACATGGTGTCGGGAGAATGAGCAAAATATCTAAGAGTACGCACCGAAAATCACTCGTTTCCTGTGTCTTTTGGGGAGGAGGCTGTTTGCCCTCATGTGTCGTTTTCCAAGACACAGTACAGTACCGGTAGCTATGGTCGCTCAACCACTCCCTTGATGGGGTACGCACCACACATAATTGTAGGGGTGAAATACTGCATAATATTATATTAATACAGAGCGAACACCTAGTCTACTGAATTTCGTGGATTGGATTCCTTATGGTGGCAATTCTATGTGAGTTGTCCGAATACGGTACGGCATTGGGCGTCGCAACGTGCAATCACGCGCAACATTGCAGCCTCTCCCCCCTCATTCCCGAACCCCACTAACTTATACCTTTACCACAACAAAAAACTCTCGGTAGACAAGATATTGGTTAGGATTGTGTATTTGTTTGATTTTTAAATATTTTTCAGTTGTGGTTTTGGTAGTCGGGTGGATTGCGTAAGAAGTGCTCGAGTGTTCCCTGTTTCATCGCAATGTTTGGAAATTTAACGGACGGTAAACTTACATGTCTTTGATCGGCAGCTTGCTTATCTTATCAGATAATCACGTGGTAACAGCATTAACTAATCTTAGACTCAGTCCAGGAAACCCTAACCCACCAGCATCAGCCAATCCCACGTGAGGGAGGTGAAAGAATAATTGTCCACATCAGGCCAACCCCCCTTTCACCCAAAAACCACCAATGCAATGGATGCATCACAGACATTTACGAAGAAACGGAAGCGAAAGCACAGCAGCAGCAAAGATGCTACCGCCGATGGCACTAAGGATAAAAGGATGAGGAAGAAAGAAAAACTTGAGCGGAAAAAGAAGAAGGTGCAGGATGAAGATGAGGGAGGAACAAAGGATGTCCCGAAGGGCGATGAGGATGGAGGTGAGAGGGGAGCCGAGGGTCTACCGAGTGGAAGAAACAGAGCAAGCAATAAAGGTGATAGTGATGGAGATGACAGGAATGGAGGGGAACAAGAGGAGGAGAACCATGAGGCTGATGGGGACGGTGCCTCGGAGCGTACCGACGCAGGCGTTAATCTCGGGTCAAACGGCATCCCGCTCGATTCTTCATTATCGCTTCCCATCACTGGGGAGAACCCGGTTAAGTTCGCTGACCTTAATCTCTCTGATGCTACTCAGAAAGCTATCACGGCAATGGGGTTCGAGAAAATGACCGATGTTCAAAGTCGGACTATTCCTCCACTGATGGCTGGGAGAGATGTATGAAAGACTCTTTCCTCTACTTCCATAAAGATTTGAGATGCTGATGGTGAGATGCAGGTTCTTGGGGCTGCTAAAACCGGCAGCGGGAAAACTCTTGCGTTCCTAATTCCCGCTGTTGAGATGCTCACTTCTCTCAAGTTCAAACCACGTAATGGAACTGGGTGCCTGGTGATCACGCCTACACGTGAATTGGCGTTGCAGATCTATGGGGTAGCGCACGAATTACTGGAGCACCATAGTCAAACGCTCGGGATCGTGATTGGTGGAGCGAATAGGCGGAACGAAGCAGATAAACTATCCCGCGGGGTTAACCTTTTAATTGCTACCCCGGGTAGATTACTGGATCACCTACAAAACACACCCGGTTTTGTATTCAAGAATCTCAAAGCTTTGGTACTCGACGAGGCAGATCGAATACTCGAAATGGGTTTCGAAGACGAGATGCGGCAGGTTATCAAGATTATACCCTCC